ACTCTTCATAAGCCCTGCTATAATACTAGCAATAGTTCTCCTAATTTTAAAAAATAGCTTAACTTTAATGCGAAGCAAGAATTTGGTGAACCTTATACGTGCCAAATATAGCCCTGTGAGTATGCAGACAGACTTATCCTCATGAGAAAATTTTCAGAGCACGAAAAACCACACAGCTGTGTAAGAAAGAATTCATCGAACCGAATACCAACAGAAATAAGCAGAAATCAAGGTCGCTATAAAAGCTTTATTTTTGCTGTTTAATACGTAACCACGTTTTTTCCACCAACTTTTGTGGCCTGCCATTTGAAATGTCGCAGTTCGCTAGTCGGAAGAGGAAAAATTCAATCCTCTTATGGTTTTCACTAAGTTGCCATAAGGTATAAAATAATTTTGGTTTTATCACTACATTTTTGTGAAACACAACAAGATTCCACTCCCTCACCAAAGTACATCTCAAAACATGCAACAAGGTAAAATTTTACTTGCTTCTCTATAAGCTTCTTGTCTACCACTCACATAACCATTAATCGCTTTAAAATGTATTAATTTATTGTCTGGCTTTGCTCTGCATGAATTTATAACCTAAGAGCTCGTATTCCAAACTTGAATCCACCAAACTTTATTAGAGGAACAAATGGTCCTTCATTTAGTTTGCAGTTTTTTGTGTTTGACGCGTCCATACAACAACCATCGCTCCAGTTATGAACTCGTTGTTTATTTGAAATCATTGATATTCTTACACTTTATACAGATGAACAGTAAAGATAAAGTATTAGATGGCCTGAGTTTGAATTCACTTCAACATTTGAAAGAAACAGAATGCATCAAACGAAATGAAAGCACCACAAATTCACTCCTCTAAGCAAAGACAACGAGGTGAGAAAGAACTGTACATTAGCTAGTTCGTATTGTTTAAATTTACTCTTGGAGAGACGACGAGGATGGCATTCTAATAAAGCTAGCGCTAGCACTAACTCCGAGTGGGCCTAACGTAGCTGACCGGTTCTTTGAACGTAGTTTAGCAAGCGAATTTTCTGCTATATCAGCTCGTTCATTGGCATCTTCAATCTGCGCTTGCAGTTGACGATATTTACCAAGATTTACCGCTGCTACCTCTTCCTTAAATAACAAAGTATCGGTCACTGAGTTACTGTATGGAGGAACGGGAACAGACTAGTTCTGTTATACTCAAACATTCGGAAAAATAGTTATTTACCGCTTCTTCCGCCTGACGTTTGAAGACCTTAATTTTTCCTTGCAGTTTTTCTGTCAGATCTGTAAGGCGTTCTGAATTCTTTCTATCTTCTTCGCACTGAAGTCATAAACTTAAACATTATTTTTGTTGTGCTAAATAAACGATCATTTCACAGAATTTTTTCACGTTACGATTAGTAAACAGGAAGTTTAAAATTTTTTGCCTGGAATTCCAGTTCCCGGACGCGTCTTTCACCTTTCTTCATTTCTTTCTCCATATCAGAGCTCTTGCGTTGTTCCGCGTCAAGTTCCTGTTCCAAAGCACGGATACGTTCTTCTAGCTTGGCTATAATCTTCTTTCCTCCACGGAGAGCAGCCGCTTCTGCGTCGTCTAATCGCACCTGGAACTTTCATGGTAGTTTTTGGCATCTTCCAAATAATTGCGCTTTTGAATGAACTTAAGCCTGTTCTGCCTAAGCGGCTTCAAATAACATGCCTGCATTTCCTTTATTTGAGCTTCTAAAGCTCTTCTCATTCTATCAATGTGTTGTGAGTGCTCTTGCTCTTGGCGAAGTTCTTCAGCCAGTCTTGCTGCGTCCGCTGAGGCTGTCTTCAGCATTTCATCTGCTGTTTTGAGCTGTGTCAATGAGTCATCTAGCTCCATCTGATAATAAAAAGTAAAAATTTAGACCATAGAGACAGTACGAAATACTTGGTAAAAAGAATTGTATTATAAAA